AACCGGAGATCGTATTCATTGGAAACGAGGCGTTCCATCTTAGTCCTCACGGGTGACAACGCATCTGCGTTTTGATTCTTAATGGAGGATAGATGTAGATGTCTATGAGCCACAGCATCCACTTACCATCGGGTAGACTGTGTGCTCGTTTGTCACCTTTATTCTATATGAAAAGAAGGATATTAAAATATTAAGTATGCACGCAACTGATACGTCCTTCGTGGACATATTATCATACTACTACGGCAGTCTGATTAAAACAATTTCCTATCTGTACAAATAAATAAAACTGAAGTGTTTGTATGTAATTTCAAAATAACAGCTTTTTACTAAATGCATATGAAAATATGGTACAACAAAAAAAAAACAATTTTTTAAATGTTTGCCTGTCTGTTCCGGCTAATCTCCGAAACTAATATTTATATATATATATATTTATATTTATATATATATATATATATATATATATATATATATATATATATATAGTATATATATAATCGGAATCTCGGAAACGGCTCCAACGATTTTCATAAAATTTTGTGTGCAGGGAGTTTCGGGGGCAATAAATCGATCTAGCTAGGATTTATTTTTAGAAAATGTCTTTTTGTCCATGTTTTTAGGCAATGAAAAATTGCTACAATATCGTTAGAATAAGAAGGTAAATTTTGACAGTTTATTAATAATTACAAATAGCTTAATTGGTATATTGGGCGGACACAAGATCGTAATACCTCATGGTTCGAGGCCAGACCGACCGACCGACTTTTTTTAAATTTTAATTTTTTCTATTAAGTTCCTTTCTTTTTTTGAGAAAATCTATTTTCTCGAGCCCCTTTGTATTTTTTAAAAACACGAAAATTTAAATTAAAGTAATTGCACTTATGATTTTTTATTCAATTAACCAGTTCAGTTTTTTCTATTATGTCGCTACGATCAAAAAATATTATTCGTATTTCATCAGTATGTAATTTATATCTAAATATAATTTTCAAAACACACGAATTTAAAAAAAAACCGAGCGAAAAATACCGAGCAAAGCTCGGTCAATCGGGCTATATATAAATAGGAGATATTTCTATAGTTTATTTATTTTTATACCATTAAAATATACATATTACGTAATTGATTTTCATTTTTATTTTATATTGCTACACCTACGTTAATTTCTCACCACACCATGGATTGACTGGTAGAGAATGCCTCAAGGCATTAAGTCCGCCCTTGTATTCTTATATATTAATAAGGAATGCAATAAAGAATAAATAAATTAAATAAAACATTATTAATATTGCCTCTAACCATTCCTGGTAAGCTAAAAAAGCTTGTGTTAGTTGTTCACGACATCAGAGGAATGGCGTATCGGAACCCATGACGTTTAGTTCGCTGTTCGCATCCTACAATTAGGCTACTGTCCCTTAAAGGTTATATTGGGCTTGTGATTGTTCTAAAAACATATGTTTTTTGGTTAAACATGGTGCAAGAAGCTTACTGCTCTTGTGTCCTACCTCGGGTATTAAACACGGGGCGCTTTAGTGTGGCTCTACCAGGTATTTAAATCATCGTTTTTCGATTGTGACGATCATTCAAATAATATACACCACGTATTAGAAAAGACGCCGAGGCTTAATTGTGTGTTAGAGATAATGAACTCCAACTTAATTAGTCAGTACCATAAAAAGGTGTTCTGTGACGAGTGACGAGCACGCGCCCCGCACTGTCGCATAGATTTTGTTTGCGGTGTCTGTTTTAGTACTTAGTTACATATCACTTCAACTGTGACGACATATCTTTATGTTAAATTTTAATTAACAACATTGTATGCCTTTAATGAAAATGTCGTTGTTTTTTTTATAGAATAAGGGTGACAAATGAGCACACAGTCCATCTGAAGGTAAGGTCACGGTAATTTTATCTATACAGTATTCCAAATTCATACAAACGGACGAAGCGAGAGCTATGCCTACGCGCCTCGATCTCGGCATGCGTCGGATGCAGGCAGTCGTGACTGTGCCGCTGTCATGATTTTGTGGAATATATAAAAAAATGGAGGAAATAAATAATAGAATAGAGAATAGATAAATCCGAACTTCATTTAAAATCAAACATATAAATTGTAAAATATCTTTTACTTGGTTATAGAATCATGAGTGCAATTAGTTTAATTTAAATTTTCGTGTTTTTAAAAAATACTAAAAAAAGGGCTCGAAAAAATAGATTTTTTTATTGCCCCCGAAACTCCCTGCACACAAAATTTTATGAAAATCTTTGGAGCCGTTTCCGAGATTCCGATTACTTATATATATATATTCCTTCTTGGTTCGAATAATTCACATATCTACTGCAAAGAGGTGGAGCCAAAAAAAAAGATGAAAAGGGGAGAAAGAAATTTAGCACATTACACCACTGTGCTTATGCACAATACATACAAATACTTATGACAGGATTGTTGAGAAAATAAACATCATAGTGTGAATTTAAAAAAACAATAGCAAAATCAATGTAACAAATGAAATAAAAAAATATGTATTAATTTTTAAATATACGTTTTTTTCACAAGGGTCAGTTCACGAGACGAGACGCACGCGACGCGGATCGCACTTTTGCGGATAGTGATATAAAATACAACCTTATTTACTACATAAAAAGATATACATTTTATTGAGATACACAGTGGACCCCCGGTAATCCCCCCCCCCCCCCTGTAATCAGAGATGGTCTATTATTTATTATTGAATATTTTTTGACAATCTTCGCTAATGCATGATTGAACAAGTTATAACTTGTACGCACCACGACTATTGTACGCGTCGTAGGGTACGCGTCGAGCACAATAGTGGTGGAGCGATTCTTTTTATTTTGAAAATGGTTGAAAGATCATAATTTTCCTCAAAAAGCGTTATTGCTTCTTAAAAACGCTCTTAAATTGATGCTTCTTAAATTGAATGATTCACAATTTTTGATTATTTCAGTATGTACATTTGTTCGTACACAATTATTTCCTAATGTCATCTTAATGCATATTTTTTGTAAGTTCTATAGCTTTAATGCATTGAGTTATTAATGACGTTAATTTTATAATAAAACGTAAGCTCTATGGTGTTATTTAATTTACTAAATTTGACATACATAATGAAATATGATTTGTACTTCAGAGTACATATACATATATAACATATAGAATCTCATAATTGGATCGGATTACAAGGTACCCTTTTGTAAAAAATTCCGGACTATAGGGGGTCTTAGGCAGTACTCTATAATCCGACAAATTCGATTAGACACTGCCCTACAATATGTTTGTCAAGTTACCGGAGGTCCACTGTAATTCGAAAATGCAAGTAGCTGTCGTGGTGATTTAACTCCACTATGATGATTAGGCATCGCGCTGCCGGCGACTTCACGATGCGATGATTGAGAAATGTATTTCTGTACCTTAGAACCACCTGCTATTAGGCGGGCAGTATACAAATACTAGTCGCCGCGACGATGTCGGATGCATGGCTGTCACATTCCGTCTGGACTGTAATGTTATATTATATATTTTGCTGCGTACGATGCTTTAAGCGGCCAGTTGTTTCCCGTCCCGTCGCGTCTCTGTGTGAACTGACCCTAATCCTACATTATCATCCGATTCTGAGCTACGTTCAAAATTTCAAGCATCGAAGCTCATCGGGAAGTGATAATCATTAAACATGAACATGAAACTGATTTAAAAATGACCTTAAAAGTGAATTTACTAACCCCTAGTTTTTAAAATTTTTAAGATTTAAGTGTACTAACAAAATGCGTGTATAATAAAAAAACACATATAATGAAACGCGCGCGTGTGTATGTGCCCATGCGCGCGCGTGCGTGCGTGCGTGCGCGTGCCTTGTGTGTGTGTGTGTGTGTGTGTGTGTGTGTGTGTGTGTGTGTGCGTGGGGGGCGCTGCGTGTGTGTGTGTGTGTGTGTGTGTGTGTGTGTGTGTGGGTTATAAGTTAGGTACTTCATTTATGTCACCTAACAAATATAATCAGTAATCACAAAATTTTCAAAAACTTGCAAAATCAGTACACGTACTGCCGAGTAACAGAATAAATAATAATATTTAATAATAGACTACGTAGCTAAGGCAAATTATGGTGAATAAATACTAATTTCTCTGCATTGAAAGGTATCAAGCGGTTTCGTCTGTATGGTATGAACAAGGCCAGCTTCAGGAAAAAATCTTTCGCTGTGCACACTGCTGCAGGGTACTGAAAGATAGATTTTGGCAAACTTTGATAAATTTGGATATTGTGTAGCAACCTGCCTGCCCACCAACATAAGGGTCACGATCGCGAACAGTTTGCACTGAGTTTACTTTTCGCTTCTTGCGATGCACCAAACGGCAATGTTCGGCCGGATACCCCGCTATCCGGCGACAAGACCGGCCAAATATCCGGTATCCGTTAACCTGCCAGAGTTATCCGTTTCGTCTCTAATCTTAACACTTTCACTATCCGGTTTTCTGATACATTAGTGCGAAACACATATGCACGCGAAAGGGTTAATGGTTTGCAAATAACTCCATCGGCTCAATAAAATGCAGCAATTCGATATTACAGATAGACAACTGAACTTAATTTACATGCATAGATTATAGACGTTGTTTATAGACACGTCATCCACTTACTGTAAAGTGGATGTGTTCATATGTAAACCTTACTTTTATAAAAAAACAGTACAGAGTAAAATATAATTTATGCTATGCTGTGTGCAGACTATCGGTCTAGGGTCCACGCCATACGTGGACCCTAAAAGTTCTTAAAAGGATTGTACTGAGCGGCGACAACAAACTCCGCCGCACAAAGTTCAACGTCATTTAGCGAGGTAACGCAGTCGGCATCTTGGCACTATACCACTTGAGTAAAGAAACCGACCAGAGATGGGATGTTACATACAAACGGCTCGCTGCGAATACACCCATATATAGCGCAGCGACGTGTGCGTCAGTCCTCACCGACAGGTTCACCGTATTACGCCTTCCTTTCCGCCAAGGAGGGTAGACTCTATACATGTTGTTTTATACTATATAATATTTTTATATTTTCCTTAAATTTTTCAAATGCATCACGTGACGTATGCATTTTTATTGTACAAATGTAATGAGTCGAGAAGAGGTTTGGTGTGGTGGGGTCATGCTGCCGCGTCCAGCGCTAGCTCAAGACGCGCCCCGGCGACCCCCAAACAGCGGCCCTATGCGCGTTCCTCTCTGTGCCATCATCCATTTTATGGGCGCCAAATAACGGGAGACGCCCAAGCCCGGCACCGTTTCGTGGTTCGGTCTTATGCACAAACGGACCTTTGCACCCACAATTTTGCTTAGGCACGGCCCTCACATCTCTTGGCAGGGCGCTGACTGACTGCGCCGAGTTTTGTCACATAACTGTTACGTCAGCGGGCGATGAGGTCGTCACTTCCCTACGCCTTATTATTATCATTATGGGGTATCTATATAGTTTTCTCATCTGGTTGGGTTCTATAAATATATAATTATAAATGAAAATGAAAAGATAAATATACATAAATATCAATAACATAAAATAAATATAAAAGTACATAAATAAGTAAAAGCCCAACCAGATGGAGGTCCTCGGCAGGGGAGACCAAACGGCCGAGGGTTAGGGGGAAAGGGAAAGAAACCGGCGGACGATGCGGGCGGTATCGAGGAGCAGCGCCTTCTGCATTTGAACCTGGAGCGGTCCGCCACGTAGTCCCAGCCGCCTCAGATGACCCGAGAGGCTGACTGGGATTAGCCCGTTTGCAGAGACGACTACAGGAATAATTTCGGTCGGCAGACCACCCCACATGTCGGTCACCTCGTGAGCCAGGTCCAGATATTTTGTTTGCTTGTCTGTTTCGGCTTTCACGAGGTTCTCGTCGTACGGAATGGTAATGTCGACCAAAAATATCCTTGACTGTGCCCGGTCCATCAGCACAATATCAGGCTTATTCGCAAGAATAGTCCTATCTGTGATGATGGCCCGGTCCCAATAGAGCCTGGCGCGATCATTTTCGAGCACGGCTTCCGGCAAGTACTTGTAATACGGCAATTTCCGATCCACGAGACCGTATTTCAGAGCGAGCTCCTGGTGTAGAATTCTGGCTACTAGGTTGTGCCTGTGCAAGTACTCAGAGTTAGAAAGCGCCGAACAACCGGAGATAACATGCCTAAGTGACTCACCGGGATGGCGACAAGCTCGACAGATGTCGACGGTGCCATCCTTTAGGATGTATCTCCGGTAGTTGTTGGTCTTAATAACCTGATCCTGTATTGCACAGACAAAACCCTCGGTTTCCCCGAAGAGATCACCAAAGCATAGCCAGTGGAGGGAGGCTACTGTGTCTACGAAAGGCTCATGTAGAGCCTTGTAGAACCTCCCGTGGAGCTCCTTCTCCTTCCATACTTCCATCTCCCGGTCGGAAATGCTCTGCACTGCCGGGTCTTGCCATTGCTCGTTGGCTAAGGATAGAGGGGTAAGTCCTTTATCACAAGAAATGACGTCCTTATAGAATGGATCATCCAATCTCGCCAGGAAGTAATCACGGAGGCTGCACACTTCGCGATTATGCATGGTGAGCGCGCTCAAGAAGCCACGACCACCATGCTTCCGCGGCAAGTACAGCCTCATTACCGACGATCTCGGATGATGCATCCTATGGGACGTCATGGTAGTGCGGACTTTTCTATCCAGGGCGTTAAGTTCAGTCTGAGTCCACCTGAGTATGCCAAAGGTATACATGAGGACAGGCATGACCCAACCGTTATATGCGTGTGCCTTATTCACACCGGACAAAAGGCTGTTAAGCACTTTGGTCAAGCGTGCATAAAACACGTCGCAAACTGACTGTTTCATACCAGCCTCATCGATACCGATGTTCTGTGACATACCCAGGTATCGGTATGTTTCAGCCACGGAAAGGGTTCTTAAGTTGACGGGCATAGATAAGTCTATGCCCTCAGAGTTAGCAACCCTTCCCCTTTCAACATGGAGGACCGCACACTTATCCGTCCCCAGCTCCATTCTAATAGAGTTGCTAAATTCACACGTGATGTTTAGCAATTCCATAAGATGGGAGCGACTGGATGCGAATAATTTGAGGTCATCCATATAGAAAAGGTGGGTCACTTTTGTACCTCCTTTCCGAAGCTGAAATCCCCTCCCGGAGCCCTCCAGTAAAGTACTGAGAGGGTTCAAAGAGAGGCAGAACCAGATTGGACTCAGACAGTCGCCCTGGAATATACCCCTCCTTATCCTTATGCGGCTTTCCGCAGCCGTCATCCGCTCGCCTAGATGACAGAGGATCGTACTCCACTGCCCCATACACTGCTCGAGGAAGTCTCGAACTGTACAGTCAATCTTGTACAGCTCGAGGACCCTCTTTAGCCATGTATGGGGCACCGAGTCAAATGCCTTTCTGTAATCTATCCAGGCGGCGGAGAAGTTCCGACGGTTGCGTTTCACCACTTTGCCAATGACCGCGTCAATGAGGAGTGGTTCCTTGGTTCCACGACCGCCGCCCCGACATCCATTTTGAGCGCGCGACATCACCTGATTTAAGTCCAGGTGACGAGCGATTCTTGCGCTCAAAATGGATGTTAGTGTCTTGTATATGGTCGGTAGACACGTGATGGGGCGGTATTTCTGTATGTCTGTGGCACCCTGATCTTTAGGAACCAAATGAGTGATCCCAGTAGTGAAGAGGCTTGGGAGCGACTTCTGGTTGAGAGCATCTTGAAACTGTCGGGCGAGCACAAAGTGACACACCATGAACCCCTTCAGCCAGTAGTGATGCAGCCCGTCAAGCCCCGGACTTTTCCAGTTCGAGGCCCTACGGACCGCCTCAGCTACGTCATCCGGCGTTATGATGACGGGGTCCATGGGCGTAATACTCGCACACTGACTCGCCACAACTTCCGTCCAAGGGCCCTCGTTGTGGTTTACGGGCTCTGACCATCTGACCATGTCGGCCTGATTTGGTGCAGGGCCCGTTCCACTTACTATTGGTCGCTCCAATGATTTATAGATCCTCTTCTGATAACTCTGGAAGAGACGATTCTGGTTGAACCGTGTCGACCTCTCGGTATATCGCCGAATCCGCTTTCCCCAAGCAGCTATTCTTTGCTTCAGGTCGTCTATGCGCTCCGTCAGTTTTTGCATTATATCCGGCTGGGAAAAACTAACATTTGTCCCAGCAAACGCCATCCTGACGGTGCGCACAATCCTTGGCCTGGTATTGCCTGACCTGAAGCATATCAGTCTGCCGATGAGGGCCCTAGCCTTTTCGATACGTTCTTCAATTCTTATTCTCCAGGCTGGGATAGCACTACTTTGTCCAGTAGCGCGTCCAGCCGTGGAAAGTTTGGCACCTATAATACGGCAGACTGCCAGTGCGGCGCCAAAAAGAATTGGGTCCGTCTCGCAAAGGTCCCGGCTGGCTTCCAAATAGGTAACCAGCATTGGGTTCAGAGCCCTCACGACAGCCCGATTCCGCTTGCTTAGGGCTAAGCGGGGAAGTCGCGGTCGATTTTCGAGAGTCGTACTGCGCGTTTCCACAATCGCCTCTTCCAATGTACTCCTCATTTGCTCTAGTTCCAGTTCCTGGGCGACTGTTCCATCATCGTTTGAATCAATCACAACTGGCGTATTCACGGCGGCATCCACATTTGCCGTTTGCTCGGCAAGTTGTGGCGCCGCATCCTCAGCCGCAGCATTTTCACCCGATGAAGGAACAGCCTCACGTCGTAGCCGTTCGAGTTCGGTGACATCAAATGTATTTGAGCGCAAGATATACCGAACTCGGTCTGCCAGGTTTTGCTCGGTGACGGTTACAGATGGCTCCAGCTCAGCAAAAAGTCGGTGCATCCTTGCCCGATACGCAAAACCTCCAGTTTCTCCCCCTTTCGCCCTAAAATACGCCCGCAATGCGTTGCTGTTCATCTGGGTTGTCCAACGCATGCGGCGTACTCCACCAGTGGCGGGTGCCGATTGCTGAGCCCGCGAAGACCCTGCCGACACCAAGCCAGCTGGTGGGGATGATGGATGCGAGGAGCTGCTGGGTGGTCGTGCAGCACCTCGCGCTCGGCTGGCGGTTCGCATGCTGTCGCGTCCAGCGCCAGCTCCAGACGCGCCCTGGCGACCGCCAGGCAGCGGCCCTTTGCGCGTTCCATTTGATTCCAGCATCCATTTTAGGGCGTCATTTAGCGGGAGACGCCCAGACCCGGCGCCGTTTCATGGTTAGGCCATGTGCACAAGCGGGCCTTGGCACCTTCAATTTTTGCCGAGGCACGGCGCTAACACCTCTTGGCAAGGTGCTGACTGACTGCGCCGAGTAGCGGTTTTGTCACATAACCGTTATATCAGCGGGCGATGGGGTCGTCACTTCCCTACGCCTCATTATTATCATTATTATTATTATTGCTATACATATACTGGATGAGCCGTGGTAGCTCAGGTGGTTAACGCCCGCTGTAAATATAACAGAACGCGAGTAATCCGGGTTCGATCCCCGCCGGCACCAATGAAATTGTTAATTGCAATTTTAAGTGCTGATTTACCACGTGCTCGGCGGTGAAGGAAAACATCCTGAGGAAACCTGCATGTCTGAGGAATAAGAGAAAAATATTTTCGAAGACATGTGAATTTCACCAACACGCATTGGGGCAGCGCGGCGAACACTTCCTTGCCCTAAAACCCTCTCAGAAATGAGGGCCTGTGCCCAGCAGTGGCACGTATATAGGCTGTAACTTTACTTTACTTTTTCACTTTTATCACGTGACAACCCTATCAGAATAGGTCATACATTTTCGACGTTGTTAGGAAGCTTCTCTAGTCCTTACTCTTTGCTCTGTTACTATACTATGAAGTAAGGCCGTATGAAAATTTCAATGCCATGACTAACAGTGTCGTGTGAAAAGTTTAGTTATTATAAAATTAATGTTAATAATAACGATCTGCCTCGGCTTCGCACGGGTAATATCTGCAACTAAGCCTATAACCTTCATTGAAGTGCAAGCAATATGTTGCTGACAATATTTTATCGCAATCTGATGAACGGTATGACAGCGCACACATAAAATACGAAGAAACAAATATTACATAATATTATTAATACTTGTTACATAAATAATATTAAATATGACAGAAACAGAAACTTTTTTATTCAATGTAGATTATGAACAACACTTATTGAAAGTCACTTTTTCATTTACCACTGGTTCGCAAAAAAGCCTCTATCCTGGGAAGAACCAGCAAGAAAGAAACCCCGCGGGACTATTTTTTTTTTTTCAAATAATAGCATACAATCATGTTTACAATTAACTAAATAACTAATAAAATCTATTTACTAGACGTCACTACGGCCAGCATCTGGGTCCATCACCAATATTAAAATACAAATTGTAAACCGTGGACATAGTAAAAACAGAATAGTAAGATATTTCCCGCGCCGTGCGAGACTTAAATGCCTACTGTTGCAGGGTTGTCACTGTCTTTTTGTTTAACAGCTAAGTCATTTAGTTTTATAAGTAGTTATAATAATTGCAAACATAATACATAAGGATAAGTACCTATGCATCGTAATTGTCAATTATTTCTTTAATTTCCTCTCAAAGAATTAATGTTTGTCAAAAGAGTTCAACCTTATATTATATAAACAAATACCAAATATCTAAAATACGAGTGAGTCAACACTCTGAATTTAATGTTTAAAATTAATTTGATCTGATGTGATATGACAATTAATGCACTTATGAGGTATGTATCTATGTATAGATATATATAGTAATATAACCTATTAATAAGAAGCTAAGTTACTTAAAGAAACGCATATATTAAATTTATTTTACAAAAAGAGAATATAAAACGAAAAATAGACTGCTAGCAAAATTTTATTAAAGTCAACAGTCTCAAACAAAGGTTATTGCGGAGCGCGACGGTGGTCGTTGGTCCGACTCGGTCCGACCTTTCCGACTTAGCAAGTGTCGTTGGGTGCGCGCTGTGGCTCGTGCGTACGAGTCCGTACTGTCACGTGCCAGTCACGCACACATATTAGCGGCGTTCGGTACATTTCTTAGAAGATAGCCTACTATTCTGTTTTTACAAAGACTATATAACCACTTGACTATACAATACAATCCCCCGACGCTCGAAAACTATTAGTATTTTGTCTCCTATACATAGGCTATGGTACTATTAAACATTTTAGAATTGCCCAAGTGTTAGACCTGTGTGCACGCTATATTAATGCAAATTTTTATAACTTTTATGCAATTATAATGCAACCAAAATGGCTTCATGCGCAGTGAAGTGGTGTGGGAAACATTCCAGGGCAGATGTCCAAAAAGAATGGAGTAACTTTTCATTGCTAAATAAAAAATACGAAAATTATTGTTGATTAATTCAGATTATGAGCCACCGCAGGGGTCTATCTAAAACGGTGGCCGTGTAAATGACGACATGGTTGAGTCACGCGTTGATGTCTTTTGGAAAAGTCTCGTTCTGTTATTAGACAATTCTAATGCTACTATCCCTTTCTTTCCCTTTGTATGTTTATAGTAAACATTAGTACCTTACTGTTACCTTTAATAGCTGAAAGTCGATATCGAAAATAATAAAATTAAAATTAATAGAAAGATTAAAATCAATTCATTTCACAAAAATTAAAATCAACTCACACACTGTGAAAAAATACTTATCTAATTTTAACCGAAAAAATAGGAGGTTCTTAGTTCGTCGGTATTTTTTCCTAGTTAAAGTTTATAGTTACCTAGTTAAATTAGTTAAATTGGTGTACCAAATCAGAACGCCTTACAATTTCAAAAAGACACTAAAGACAAGTTATTGTACGGATCCACTACAGTAATAGATATTTGTCGTCGTTGTAAAATTTTTATTAAGAAGGCGAATTTCATCAATTTGAAATAGAATCAACAAATCATTTAATGCATAATTTACAAATATGTAGACGCTTGTTTATATTTTTTTACAAAGAACAATCAAGACCCTTAAACTTTAATTCGAAATAAATATCACAAATTAATTCATTTTAAAAATCAATAATAATATAATAAATACATGTTTTCGTTGTAACTGATTGATTTAGATTAAATGTTATTTCTGTGATTTTAATTGAATATTTTTCATAATGATAATATCCATTTTATCGATATCGAATATTTTTCTTTATTAAGAAGAGCAACCCTAACGATAGCCATAACAACGCAACTTGATCATTTGCAGCCACGCGTTCTTCCTCGTCCCCCGGCCCGCAGTAGTGAGCCGTGTGCTTAGAAGAAATCTGCCTATACGCTCTCTAGTGGATATATTGTCTATGTGTTTTTATGCCGTGGAGACATATGAAGAATTCAATTAAAATAAAAGCTTGTAAAATCGATGTTCACTCATTTTTTTTTCAACTACACAGTGATTATGACCTGTTATCACGGTAATATTATCTATACAGTATTGTAACTCGGCCGTATCTTTGAAATAAATGCCTACAGCCGCGCGGTACGTAAACATGCAAAAGGGCTGCCTGCCTCCAGCATTACATTTGCCTACTTTGTGTTTCCATTTAGTTTTATGATTGTAAATATACTTTTTTTATATAATCAAATACAATAGGTACTAATAGGTTGAAAATTCAATAGGAAGTGTTAATAAAAATGCGTGTCGTTTTTTGATTGGTAGATTTAATTAAAAAACCATGTTTATGTTTGAATAACAAATCGGTCTTATGAATTAGCGACCGAAAAATATTTGCGCCTCGGCCTCGGCTGAGACGTACGAATTACTTTATTATTAAATTTTTAAGTAAAAAAAAATCCGCATTATAATATAAAGATTAATTAAAAATTATTTTGGGAAACATGGACAAGGTGGAGAAAAGTAATATCTTTTACTTGGATAAAGAGGTATCTATAACCAAGTAAAAGATATTTTATAATTTATATGTTTGGTTTTAAATGAAGTTCGGATTTATTATTTGTTTATTCCATTCTATTATTTATTTCCTTAATTTTTTATATATTCCACAAAATCATCACTGCGGCACACTCACGACTACCTGCATGCCGAGATCGAGGCGCGTAGGCATAGCTCCCGCTTCGTCCGTTTGTATGGAGTTGGAATACTGTATAGATAAAATGACCGTGCTGTTACCGTTATTATTGATTGGTCGCTTTATACAATAGTTTAAACACAGTTCTATCAGAATGTTTATAGCCATTTGATAACCTATTTGAGCGGGGAAAACACAAAATAGCTCAAACTCCTTATCGGTTTTTATTCTAGGAGTGTTACGAGTTGCAGGTTATCTATGTAATGTACGGAGTCATATTCCCCTGGTAGATTTAGATCAGGATAACTTCCGTCTTTATTTATTTGTTTCCACTGTTTTGCAAAAAAAAGTGCAAAAGATTAATGCATTTTCTACCTCTTTTTTTAGGATACGATGACAAGCGAGCACACAGTCCACCCGATATAAGTTGTTGCTGTGGCCCATAGACATCTATCTACATCCTCGACTACAAAATAAAATGCAGATGCGCTATCCTTTCCAATAAAATGGGTCCCCGGTTCTGTACCATCATCATCATCATTACAGCCCTCAAGTCCACTGCTGAACATAGGCCTCCCCCAAGCAATGCCACAAAGCACGGTCCTGAGCCACCTGCATCCATCGATTTCCTGCATATTTTACCAGGTCGTCACTCCATCTAGTGGGGGGTCGCCCTACACTACGCCTACCGGTACGAGGCTGCCACTCGAGAACCTTTCTTCCCCATCGGTTATCGGTTCTTCGAGCTATATGGCCGGCCCATTGCCACTTCAGCTTACTAATCCGTTGGGCTATGTCGGTCACT